CCAGCGGGAGGCGCGGCGGGAGCCCGGCGTCCGCCCCGAGCGCTCTTATAGCGGCCGTCACGTGGCCGCGCACGCTCCCGGCGCCCGGCGCAGCCCCCTCTGCGCGGCCGCGGGGCGCGGCGGCCGCGGGACTCTGGGGCCCGCGACGCCCCTCGGGTCGCCCCGCCCTCCCCCTCCCCCCCCCGCGACGACCCCCGGCTGGAGCTCCCGGGTGCCCCGGTCCTGCCGCAGAGGGGCACCTGCCTGGAACCGCGCGCCTCCGTGTCCCCACCCCGAGCCCGGGCGTTGAAGCGGAACTTGGGGCTGCGTGTGACGGCCAACTCCAAAGAAGCCAAGAGCCGGGGGACCTCAGAAGACAAGCAAGCGAGTCCCAGAGCGCCCTAGCTGCAATAATTCGTCTGAACTGCTTGAATGAAACCTCAAGTTTAATTCCCTTTTCACCGGCAACTTGGAATCAGCCTCTGGAATCATGCCTCGGCGTCCTCGCCGTGGCTTTGTGGCCTTAACCTACAGATGTAGTGATATTCGGTAATATGATTTAGATTCTTGGAGCCGTCTGTATCAATTTGATATTTGAGTGCTTCATTGAATCCTTGTGTCACCTTAGTGAGATGGGTGTTATATATTCATTTTACAGATGAGGAAACTGAGGAACAGAAGTTACAGTACTTTTCTCTTTTTTCTTTTCTTTCTTTCTTTGTCGTAGTCTCACTTTGTCACCTAGGCTGGAGTGTAGTGGCTCGCTCCCGGCCCCTGCAGCCTCGACCTGCTGGGCTCAGGCGATCCTTCCGCCTCAGCCTTCCAAGTAGCTGGAACTACAGGCGAGAGCTACCATGCCCGGCTAAGTTTTTCATTTATTGTAGAGGCGAGACTCACCAGGTTGCCCAGGCTAGTCTCAAATCCCTGAGCTCAGGCAATCCTCTCGCCTCGGCCTCCCAAAGTGTTGGAATTACAGGCTTCAGCCACCATGCACCCGGCCACAGTACTTTTCTAGGGTGGTATAATGTAAGTGGAGAAAGTAGGATTTAAGCCCAGGAAGTTTGGTTACAGAATCAGTCTTCCCACCCAGAAAGCTTTGGCGCTTCTGCCACCCATGTGCTCCAAACAGGTTAGTAAATTTTGGTAGCTGTGGTTAGGTAATATAGTTGTTCTGGTTAATCTGTTTCACAAATCTTAAGATGGTCAATTTGTCATTTTTCTAGGAAGTTAAGAAATAGTTCTCTACTGTGATCACACCTTTCACTGCTCTCCATCCCCAGCCCCAACCCTGTCCAAGCCTCAGGTAGTACAGTTCTGCAATTGTTGCCCAGTAAATGCTGAATGAATACTACAAGCTATTTGGAAACCAATCAGGAAGTTGACAACATGAGCTCAAAAAATGAAATAGATGTTGAAGAATACCCCCCCTTTTTTAAAAATAAAAGTGGTACTGCTATCCTTAAACCAATTAGATCCCTGTTTCCTCCTGTGTGGGCTTAGACCTCCTATCAGAATCACTTGGAAACACCAATTAATGAAATGTAAATTCCTGGGCCTAAGTCAGACCTCTTCGATCAGAATCTTAGGAGTAGAACCTAAGAACCAACATTTTCGATATCACCTCGCTATCTAGTCTCTCCAACCCCACCATGGCCTGGAGACCACTGATCCCCATCAGAGGACCTCCTAGTAACTTGGCACTGTATACATCCTTTGCAGGAAACAGAATGTGGGGGTGAAGCAGTAATGAATGAGCTTCCACTTAGTGAAAGCCTTAAGGCTTAGAAGAGTTGGAGTTCTTTAAGGAATATAAAGGCTGTACGTGAATCGCACCAAAGTGGGGAGAGGAAAAATGGAGAGATGTGCTTCCCTGTCTGAACTGTTCTTTTCTAGACTGAGAAGCGGACTTGGAAGAGTAAGATTTCCACCTTTCACCCAGGAACCCTCCTGCCATCAGCGACCCTTAGCCAGCTGCTGCTCACAGTCCAAGGGCTTAGCATAGACTTCTCCAGGGGTGTGTGGGGCGGGGGTGAAAGGGCAAAGCCAAGAGGAAGAGCTGGGACAACTGAAAAAATGGAAATGCTTCCATTAGGAACAAACTGCCCTCTACCCCACCTCCCAGGGTATTTAAGTAAAAGGGGTCACCACAACCCTTCCTTCCTGGGTTTCATGTACATTTACACAGACAGAAAGTTTGCAGCTTTTACCACTTTGAATCACACAGGGACATTCTGAAATTGGTACAGTCTGCTTTTAGGCATCGTCATAATGGAGATTTCTAATAGTGACCCACTACCTAACTAGTCCTGAGGCTGTTCTTCATTGAGCTCCATCCAGTATGGGAGCAAGGCCTCTCAAACTTTAATGTGCACACAGATGGCCTGAGGAGCTTATTAAAGCGCAGATTCTGACTCAGTCATTTGGCATGGGTCGCCCAGGTGATGCCCAGGCTGTTGGCCAACTTTGAATGGTGAGGTGTTCGAACATTTTGGATTGCAAGGCATTGGGAGAAGTGGATAAACATGTTTTATGAAGCCAATGTTTGAGACTTTAGTTTGTTAATTTTTTTTCTTGTGAAACTTGAGCTAGTAAAATTACTGAGTCCTAAAAGAAAGACTTAAGTTAAAAAAGATAAGTTGTACTCCACATTGAGTGTGTGTGACTATTAACCTTTTAAACCTATACTAAATTTGTATATTCAGCATGG